CGACATTAATGTTAAGGGAATTTTGTGGTTTACCAATCTGAAACATCCCCATTTCTCGCACGCTTCTCTCAGTTTTCCCATCTGTGCTGGAAAATCTTCGATATCGATTGTTGGGATCCCTCCCTCACTCATTTTTTCTTGTTTGTGCTGGAAAATCTTGTGTAGAAGTATCAACAATAGAAGTTATCAAAAGCAGAAGAAAGAAGATGGAGCACGAGTCTTCCGACAACTGGAGCAACAACTACGTTTTGCTTTTTCGGATAAAAGCATATGCTAATGGTTCCCTAAAAAACAAAACATACGTTGAATGGGGTAGAAATTCTTTCTTCTTTTGAAGATTCTGTTGAAAGGGCTGAATCAATTCAAGCCCGTGAGCCCAAGCCGGACGAGAAGAAAGAAATGGGTCGCACACCTGGAAAGGGTTGTGACCTGATGTGAGTGTATATACGTAGATGTACACAGTAGATTAAAAAGTAATTGTTGAGGAGAGGTATAAACACCTTGTTTTTAACCATCACATTCTATAAAATCTCATTTTTATTCTCTCAAATCCTAAGATTTATAGCTCGCTGCCACTTCTCTCCACTATTTACTTGTTGCTCCACTATTTATCCTTTATTATTATTATTTTTTTTATAGATTTTAACAAAACTTGTTCGTTCGAAGAGGTAGAGAGGCCACCATGAGACATCATAAGAGCATGTGTAATTTCTTACATGATATCAACACAAATATTTGAATAAAATAACGATTCAACAGAATACATCTATTTCATGGATGATTATTTATATTCTTTAAATTTGTATGGACTCGAATAGCCTTCAAGATAATAATACGCTAAATTTTTAAATTTTATTAAGCTTTCACACCGTACAAATAATGCAAACCATATTACAATTATTTTGTGAGGAAAGATGGTGATAATTTCATTACAGTACTAGTGTACATAAACAATATAATTATGGTTAAAAATAATAACCAACAAATTAATGAATTGGAGGAAGTTATGAATGAGGAATTTAAGATCAAGGATATGAATTTGAAGTAGTTTTTGGGCATTGAGGTAGCCAGACTAAAAAGAGAGAATCATATCTGTCAAAAAAAAGTATACACTTGACCTATTGAATAGCACTGGAATGTTCGGAGGAAATGTTTCAAAGGTTCACTTGGAGGAAAATATCAAGTTGCCAAAGGAAGATAGTGAGTTTATTATTAATCCAACAATGTATAAAAGATTCATTAAGACTTATGTACCTAACCATGATTAAATCAAACATAGTCTATTCAATACATATTTTAAGCCAATTTATGGAGAAGCCAATAAACAAGCATTTTAGTGCAACATACAAAGTAATAAGATATATAGAAAGTATTTCAGGACAATGACCATTTTGTTGAAGCTCATCAAAATTGAAGTTGAATGAATATAACGATAATGATTTAAAATAATATTTGAACACAAATAGGTTAGTTATAGGGTATTATATTCTACTTTAAGGTTCTTTAATATCATGAAAATCCAATAAACAACAAACAATTTCTAAATTATCAGCTAAAGTAGAATATAGGGTCATGATAAATGTATGTTGTGATTTGACACGGATTAAACATCTATTAGATGCCTATTGAGTTGATAATTTAAAAATTGAAGTGGTACATTGTGACAATAAATTTGTGGTACAAATAGCGATCAATCCAATATTTCATGAAAAAACGAAACATATCGAACTTGATTGTCACTTAGTATAAGGAAAGATTCAAGGTAAAAGCATTTATACAAGACACATGGGAAGCAAGTAAGAATTTATTCTCAAAGGTATTGTCTAGTAGATTACTTAATCAATATATAAGCAAGATGAGAATAAAAGATATTTACTCTCCACCTTAAAGAGAGATGAAAAAAAGATTTAATCAATTCAGGTCATGAGTCCAAGCTTGATGAGAAAGAAAGAAATGGACCAACACACCTAAAAAGAATTATACGTGTTATGTATGCGTGTGTACATATATACATATATATGTATATTAGGTTAAAAAAGAATAGTTGAGGTGTAATTGTGATGTATGTATACCAGTATTTGAAGAGATATATAAGTACCTCGTTTTTAATCTTCAAACTCTTTAGAATCTTATTTCTATTCTCTCAAACCCTAGTGTTTCTCTCTCATTACCGCTCATCTCCACTGTTTATTTATTTCTTCACCAATTTATCTCTTGTTGTTTTGCTTTCTTCTTACAGATCTTAGCAAAACTTGGGTATGAAGAGACAAAAGAGGACTTGGGACATCAGAACAACGTACATAACTACTCACATATATTAAGTACTAATAAAAAAAAAATCTAACAACTTTTATAAATTATATTGAAATTTTAAATTTGTCTTCTTCTATGATGTTTACTAAAATAGATAGTTATAGTAATTTGTCTCAAGTAGGGAAATAAGTGAAGGAGGAGACTCCGGCTATAGAACTTCATAAATTCACATTACACCCATGTTTTCAACCATTCAAAAATATTGTGAAATGTAGCTATTATTTCACATTTGATTTCAATTAAAATATATTACCTATTGTTTTCATAACCAAATAAAAAAATTAACATCATATAAAATTAAAATAATACATTTTAAATTTAATAAACTTAGTTGTTTTAATTAGTTCCATACCTTACATCATTATTATAGTGAAATCAATTCAAGAGAGTTTTTATTATTATATTTGACAAAATAGACTTAGAAGCTAATTTTATAACATGGAGAATCCCAATCAGAATCTCCACCCTACACTGTTTTCTTCTCCTGAAGGAATATGATAGTACCAAAATGGCGCAAAACGACGACGTCTTAGGCCTCAACGGCCTCCAATTGTTTTCATCTTCCCCCTCCTTCTATTCGCCGTCACTCCCTAAGCATGCATCTGCATGTCCAAAGAAACACCCATTTAACTCTTTTATATATCTCCGCTCCACGTGCTCCAACTTATGCAAGCCACACTCCTCCCACTTTCATGGCCTCCTCCTCTCCTACTTCCCCCGCCGATCACAAACTCGCCGTACTCGACCCCAAAAACGGAGCTCTGGCCGGAAAGCGGCGAGCACAGTGGGTCCGAGCAGCAATTCTCGGTGCCAATGATGGGCTGCTCTCTACCGCAGCGCTAATGATCGGTATTGGCGCCGCAAAGGAAGATAGATCGCCCATGCTCATGTCCGGACTCGCCGGAGCTCTTGCAGGTTCTTTTAGCATGGCTGCCGGCGAGTTCGTTTCAGTCTCCACTCAAAGAGATATCGAAGAAGCAACTAATAACTCGACCAAGCTGGTCACCTCCAACCCAAAAGAGCAATTACCCATTACATCTCCGGCACGGTCTCCTGTCATGAAGGTGATTAGTGCCGGCGGCGGAGCCGTGAGAGAAGAAGCATTACCGAACCCGTATAAAGCTGCAGCTGCGTCGGCTCTGGCGTTTTTGTGTGGGTCGTTGGTTCCTTTAGCATCAGCCATGTTTGTTAAACAAGATTCTGTAAGGATGATTGTGATTGCGGCTGTTTCTTCGGTAGCTCTACCTGTGTTCGGAGGGATCGGAGCCTATATTGGGGGATCGCCGATTAGGATATCTGGTGTTAGAGTTTTGCTTGGGGGATGGACCGCCATGGGTGTTACTTATGGGTTGCTTAAGTTTTTTAACACGGATAAAATTCATGAAACTCATCATCTTAACCAATGATCTCCATATGTAATGTCCTCTGATCTCATATATAATGGATGATGATCTTCTGGTTCATTACTAAGCTTCCTCAGTAGGCTTCGAACTGTGCCGATATGGAAAATCCACCATAAAAATATTCTGAAAAAGTGATATCATAAAAAAAGGTCAAATAATGGGAAATGATAAGGAACATGAAATTATATTATAAATTGAAGGAAAAATATATGAACGGAGACAAAAGGGTATGGGAGAGTAGTTATCACTTGATTCTAATGCCCATCCATCATCTCAACTACTTCCCTAATTATTGAAGTATCCTTTAGAAGAGGAGATACGCGTCTTTCTTCACGTGATCTGATCTATTCTGAACCAAGATCCGTCTTGATATTTTCCTTTTTCATTTTTTGTTTCTGGGTAACAAGCAAAATCTTCGCAATTATTTGATATAACAATAATGCTGATCGAAGTTTTATGTGTATATATATAAACATAGAGAGGAGGTGCAGAAGGAAGGTCTCATCAGCTCTGGATGCTTTTCTAAAACTAATTAAGAATCGATCTGATAATCTTCTTCTGATGATGGATGATGAGAAAGCCAAGGAATTAGATCAATTATTCACTGAGACCCTGCCTGTTCTCCCAAGATTGGATCGTCTTGATCGTTTGGTAATACATTAATTCGCATATCTCTAAAAATATGTATGTACTTATATTATATACTTGTGTAAACATATATATATATATTGTGTACAGGTGGAGGCTTTGGAGGGGAAACAATGGTTATCAGAAAAGCAAATTCGCGGTGTTGAGAGAAAGGAAGAGGAAAAAGATGAAGATGAGGGGAAGCAGATCACCCTTTCATCTGCACTGGAACAAGTTCATCACAAAGGGACACTCATGGACAGAATAACCATGCTTGAGAACAGAGTACTGCAGGTTAATTTCTCCAAACTAATATGTACATGTACATATATGTATATAATTGTATATGCAAGACAGTAAGCCAGTATATAATTACAAAGCACCTGGTAAACCAATATGTTAGTTTGAGTCAGATAATCATTATTGATTATGTTAATGGTAGTAATTAGTATTAATAATCAGTTTTGCTTGGACATTATAATACAAAGCAGTTGAGTTTAAAGTACTTGGAGGATATGGGAAAAAGCAGCATCAATCCCAAACGTGAAGCAATTGAGAGACCGGTGGAAGATGCAATCTCCCATGTTCAACATGCTACTGCAACTCACAATCCGGTGCGTTTCATGCTTCAAGTTAATTACCTACAATATAAACACATCATAATTAATTACATGAAAAATAATAATGATTAAAATTAATTATTTGTTATTAACAGGTGGAGAGGATGGAGAAAGTAGGGAGAAGAAAAGAGAAAAGGAAGCAGAGAAAGTGGCTTGAGTGGCTACGACGGCCTCCATGTTGACTTTCTCCCAATTAATTAACTCTACCAATATAATTAATGTATCTAATCACAATAATTTGATTGCTCTGTTCCCAATCCAAAGACACTATGAGACTCTTAAGCTTCTTTCTGTATTAATTTTTACATACACATTTAGTTAGAATAAATTTCAAATTCTGAATTTCAGACATATTATCTAACTATTTTTAACTACATTATGGTATTTTCCTTATTTTTACGAAGAAATTTGAATTTAAATTAGATCGTGTATTCTTATTAGAAAATTAGTCATAATTTATGAATATATATTATTTAATTAATAAATATTAAATTTAATCTGATGGGTCATTAATGATAGAACCCGACTCAATTAGAATAACTCATTTATTTAAAATTTAAATTCAAAATTACGGTTAATTAACATATTAAGTAAAAATTATTTATTTTTAAGTCAGTATGTAAAAAAGTAAAAAGCACCAAAGAAAAAAAGTTAAAAAGAGAAAAAACTCACTCACTCTCTCTTTCTCTCCCAAGAGACTTTTGGTTTAAATAAAATTTAGATTTCTATAAAAAATATTTATACCGTAAAAATTTACATACAGTTCGTTATGCATTAATATGATTGTATATGATATTACATAAAATAATTTTTAAAAAAATAATTACAAAATTGATTTGTGAATTATATGTTAATTTTATGAATTTTTAATAATAATATATATAATTTTTCATATTAAAAAAAGATATATTAGGAGAAAGAGAAGACACATTTTCATAAACAGATTAATTACCATCTTCAATAAATAAATTAGTAAAATTACAGTCAATTTATTTATTTTATTTCTATCTCCGGACAATCATCAAGAACATGTTTAGTGCGATGTAGTAATTTTTCGTGATATTCTTTACTTGCATATAGATAATTATAAATAGTATATTTTTATATAATTATAGTTACGTTATTTATTTATGCAATCCGTCGTTAAATTAAAATTTATAATTAAATACGAATTAAAATTGGGTTTAGTATTTAGAGAATTAAAGATATATTCGTTAAAAATATTATTCAATTTCTTATGAAATAAAAAAAAAATTATATATCTTTAACTTTTATTGAATTTTTTATTTTTTAATAATATTTTTTATGGTAATATAAAAAAGCAAGGCACATTAATTCTTATAATGTGAAAAATAAGTACCATAATCTTAAGGTTTTATATTCTTTTTTATTTAATTACTTTATTGACATTTTTAATTAATTTTAAATATTTATTAAAAGTATCTGCTTGCTTTCTAAAATTAGCCATTTTATCTAAATTTATTTTTTAAATATGAATTTACTCCACTTAACTCACAACCCTCTCCATTACTTTTCCATATTTCTTTTTCAACTGTACCAAAGACCTTTGATTGTCAACGGAAAGAAAGGGAAAGCAGGGTTGTTGATTGTTTGTTTGAAGTTACAGCAGAGGCCATTAATCAGTTTTGCAGGTATTAATTATCTATTGATACAGAACGAAAGCGAAGTAAGTGACGATCAAAGATTTGGGCTTTAGGCCCAGAATCTGAAGCTTTTATTATTTGAAAAAGAAGTATTATTAATGGATCAATCGGTCAGCGGTATGCACACAGGAGAGCATGTGGCAGACGGAACTTCCAAGGAAAAAATGATGATGATGGTGATGACTCTGCAAACGATACGTGTTCATTAGAGTACAAACGAAAGCAGGTGTGACAAACTTGAAAGGAGGATTTTGTATTATTCTTCTTTTTTTTGTAATAGTTTTTGTACAGAAGGAGAACGAAAGACCCAATTCAGTTTAATTAACAAGAAGTTCTCAAATCAATTGATTGATGGTAATGGAGGGCCAACGGGAATTCCATGGACGGGAAGAATTCAATTCAAACATAATGCATACAATGGCGGCACTTGCGATATGGCTGGGTGCTATCCACTTTAACTTCCTTTTGATCCTCTTTTCAATTTTATGCCTCTCTTTTTCCAAATGCCTTCTGTGAGTCACGCTCTTTTTCCTTTTTACATTTCTTCCTTTACCATATTCCTATTTCCGTATATGTCTCCGTCTAGCTATAATTGTATTTTGTTCAGGGTGTTTGGAATACTTGTGCTTTTCATGGTCATTCCCATCGATGATCGTAGCAAATTTGGGCGAAGACTCTCCAGGTTGCTTCTTCTTTTCTTATCTCTATTTTCTGATTTCTCATTTTATATTTGCTGAACCAGGAAAGAGTAATCTGAAAATCATATTACAGGTATATATGTAAGCATGCTTGTAGTTATTTCCCCGTCACGCTTCACGTTGAGGATTACAGTGCCTTCCATCCCGATCGTGCTTATGGTTTCTTCTCTTCTTTTTTATTTTTTTTTTATTTTCACTCTCGTTTCTTTTCCCCTTTTTCCTGTAAGCATGAATTTTGAGCTGGTGGTTTGATTCAGTGCTTGGGTACGAACCGCATTCGGTTTGGCCAATTGGAGTTGTTGCCCTCGCTGATCTTACAGGTTTCATGCCTCTTCCAAAGATTAAGGTCCTTGCCAGTAGCGCTGTAAGACTTCCTTCTCCCTCTCCACCTCACTGTTCATCTCTAATCTCAGAATCCATTCCCCTGACCTCCTATGAATTTAATGGTGTATTAGGTTTTCTACACACCTTTTTTGAGGCACATATGGACCTGGTTAGGTCTTACTGCTGCAACTAAGAAAAACTTTACTTCCCTCTTAAAAGCTGGTCACAGTTGCATCATTGTGCCTGGTGGAGTGCAGGAGGCCTTTCACATGCGGCGTGGCTCTGAGGTTTAATTTTACTCCACTCTCCTCTTTTTACCATTTTATCTATCAAATCTTCAGTCTTTTAGATGATCTTTCCTTTACTTTTTTTTTTTCTCTCAGTTAAACTGGTTCCTTCCTAATTTTGAATTCTACTTGAAATTTCTTATTAGGTCAATTTGCATCATTTTCATAATAAGTGAGAAGTCAAAATGGATTCCTATGAATAGAACACTTTTGTTCTGAACGTAGCCTAAAAAAGTGAGGATAAATCATTTATTTTTATTTTTTTCTTTGTTGCTGGGTAGCAAACTCTACTTGATTCTCTAATTCTTTCCTCATAACACTGTATACCGGTAGTTGTTTACGGCATACACTGAAAACATTGTGAATTAGGACACAGTTGCACAGTCAACAATAAATAGGGCAATGGACAGTTTTTAGCAGAACTTGTGGAAAGTTATATGACCAAAATAACTCCAAAATCTAGTTTATATATCTAAACTCCCTGTATAATGTAAGAAAATATGAGAGAATATTTTCTAATACCAAAAACATTCCATCTTAGCTTATTCCCATTTGCATCACAGAGGCCGTAGCTATGAGGCAGCTTGAAACTTGGTCTTGATATAAGGATCTGAGATCTTAGACAAGGTTTAAGCTATTCTATTTCAAATAACCTATAGCGGAGCGAGAATTTCTTCAGCAAGTATTCCTTAATAAATCATCTGGTATGAGTTAGTCAAGGAAGAACAAAGTTGCATACTTATGGATAAACATAGTAAAGGAAAACATATCAAAGGAATAGGAATAGGAATAGAAAGCAAATGATGAGTTTTTAAAGGAAATGAAAAGAAACTTCTTTATCTTATTTGGTTAACTAAAAATTGTGACAGTGAAGGAAAGAAAATAGAAGAATTACCGTGGTACCAAAGAAAAGAAACTTCTTCAGCAAGTATTCCAATGTATCTTTTGGTGTAAGTTAGTGAAGGAAGAACAAAGCTAATATGTTTGGATAAAAATAGTAAAGGAAAACATATCAAAGGAATAGAAAGCAAATAATGGGTTTCTACAGGAACTTCTATGTCTTACTTGAATAACTAAAAATTATGAAAGTGAAGGAAAGAAAATGAAAAGATTACTGTGATACACGATCTAGTTTATGTGTGTAAAAGTATTTTTAAAAAAAAAATTGATCATAGCATTTGCTGTTTATTATAATCAAGTCCATGGAGCATGAAAACCATAGGGAAAATTCCTTCCAGAAGGGGAATGAATTCCATGAGAAATCATTCCCTTCTTAACTGTTGTCAACTCCTTTTTCAACCGATTGTTCGCTTCTTTTAATCTTTGTGCATCATGGTGGAACACCATGATGAATCATTTTGCATCCATTTTCATCTAAATCCTGCAATTCACTAATTCTTTTTCTAATCTCCTGAAGTTTATGTCTATCATAGTTTGTGAACAATGTCTTAGGGGTCAGTGAATTCCAACTTGAATACTGTCTTGGTGAGGGTGAATGAATTCCAACCTGGGTTTAGTTTAAGTGATGAGGTGAGGATAGATCTTTGATTAAAATTGTAATTATAAAATAAAACATTGATAATGAAATGGATGTACCAATACTTTGGTAAGCAATGTTCTCAAAGAAAAGAACTTGTTGAGCAATGTGATTCATGATTCAAATTCTTGTCCTAAATTTTGGTTATTTTTATTACATAAAGAGATGCAAATAAACATCTGTAGATAAACATGGAAGCATACACTTGTGTACACCTGTGGGCACACTTCATGTGTGGTGAGGAGAATATCTTTTCTTCTAAAGACTATTTATGACATGTTGAGTCCGTTACTCTCCAGAATACAGATGCATAGAAGTATCTAGTTAAAAGTGCACATGCACACACACCTGGGCCATGCATAATGGAGGAATATATTTGTTCTTCTGAAGACTGTTTGTGACATGTTGACAGTCCGCTTGCTCTGCAGGTTGCATTCCTCAAGACAAGAAGAGGGTTTGTTCGCATAGCCATGGAACATGGCACCCCCCTTGTTCCAGTTTTCTGCTTTGGGCAGGTACTGGTTCAATTTTTATTATTTATTTATCTTTTTTACTCAATGTCCTCCCAGCGTAAGTGGAGCATCTTTATGTTATCATAATGTGAACTGTCAAGGGAGTCAGTATGTGGCAACTTTCTCCTTTCCAGCCGTTTGCTCGAGATTATTGTCTTACACTATCCATTGCATTTATTGCTCACTAATCTTGTTGTTTGATACTGTTTTTTCCACTTATCTTCTCACTTGTTCTGTAGTCAAATGTCTACAATTGGTGGAAGCCTGGTGGGAAATTCTTCCTAGAACTTTCTAGAGCAATCAAGTTTACCCCATTTATCTTTTGGGGAATTTTTGGGTATTATTCATAGTTCTTTTCTATATTTGCTAATTTATCACCCACGCTCACTGTAGTTTAGTTTATTTGCCATCTGCTTTCTTTTGATAGTGAATTCTTTATTGTGTTATTCTTAATGACATTCAGTAACAGTCAGTTGGGTGTTTGCAGATCTCCATTACCTTACCAACATCCTATGCATGTGGTAGTTGGTAGACCTATTGAGCTAAAGAAAAACCTGCAACCAACTATGGAAGAGGTATGGAGCCATTAACTCACGTTTCCATTATTTCTAACTTTCTGTCACTATTTGTTACGAGAATATAATGATAAGGTTTGGTCATTTTTGTCAGATTAAGCCTTTTCGAAAATTTGTAATTTAATCATAATATTTCACATGGTATTTTGAAGTCAAATTTTTAAATTTTTGCAACTGCATATTTATTAGAATCGAAGTTTAAAACAATTATGAATAAGATGTGTTTTATCAACATGTTTAACCCAATAGACTTGCGTGCGCATGAGAGGGCATTTTAGAATAGAAATAATAAAGATATGCCATTTCTTATCAGTTTTCGGAGTAATTGGTAACTCAACTAAATTGTTTCATTAGAATAAAATATTTGTGGACCTAAATGTCCATTCAATTTTCTTACTTTGATCATTCAAACAGAGAGAAGGAAGGCTTGTTGCTTTGTGCCTCTCTTGCCTGATGTCTTTACTGGAAATGTTGATTTAAGGCCATGTTTGGGACAAATAAATTCATTTACTTTTGTCAATTTAGTGACTGCTTTCTATCATTGTAGTCACTGTAGCAAACAAGTCTCAAATAAGCAATTTGCTACCAAAAGGAAAAAAAAAATAATTCACTGTGTGATACTTATTACATTTAATAATAATTTATATTAGTACAACCGAACGAGCTCCACTCATATTATGTCCAACCTGCACGCATATAATGTAGGTAGCAGAAGTACACAGTCAATTTGTTGAAGCACTTCAAGATCTTTTTGAAAGACACAAGGCTCGGGTTGGCCATCCTGATCTCCAATTGACAGTTCTATAACAAGAATGTTTGTTGCTTGTACTCCCTTTATCTTCATGTGGTCGAATGTTTATCTATGTTCCAGCTTGTGTGTAATTCAATCACTTGGCCAGCTTCATGTTTAGGCATTGTATTAGTCAGTTGCTTAGCTAGGAAATAAAACTTGTGGGTCTGGCTGTGATTAGTGATGGAGCAAAGCAAGCCAGGAGAATCATTTACTTTCAACGTGATTTCTTGAGTATCCTAATTTCTACCAAGAAAGATTCAATGGTTCTCTAAATTCCAGAAGTGTTGACCTGACTAATTAGAATGGGCACGTGGAAAATTGTTCTTTCTTTTATTGATAAGTTGGTGCAGAAGTTTTTGGGTTACAGTGTCTTTGGATTTTGGATTATTTAGACCATTTACATTTAATTGGAACTGTAAAAGAGCTGTAATTATCATACAAAATCAAACATTTCACAGCTGAAAATTTTAGTGATAACATCTGTGGAGAAGTTTTAATGAGGACATACATAAACTAGGATGATATTTTATGCCTCCTCACTTCATAAAGAGATAATAGTAGTAAAGGATTCATTCAACTGCATGTAAATCCCTGTGGTTCCAGAATCATACCAACCGTTAGATTTTTAAACATTAATCACATAAAAATTAAGAAAGATAATTTTGGATGATGTGAAGGTTAAAGGCAAACACAAGTTCTGATATGTAAATGCTATTTTTGGCCTGGATATATTAGGGATGTGATGACAGGAACCAGGACTACTAAATCAAACTGCAAAGATTTAAGCTGCTTTTGTCTGGCCCCTTTCGACTGCAGATCCTCTGGGAAAAAAAAAATCATGAACACTTGTAGAAAAATATTGAAAAGGAAATGAATGATGCTGACTATCAACTGTGATAACCGACATATGTGTTATTACTCAGTTTCTTTATAATTAACAACTGGTGAACCCCAATATTGGATAGCTGAGAGAATGAGTACCAAAAGTACAAGCCATATCTCAGTCTTTCATCCCTAACTTGATGTTTTGAACTTTCACAGACAGCTGCAATTTCTGCTCCTCAATATCCTTCAGAACTGAAAGCAAGTTGGCTCGGTATACCTCACATTTCCTTCGTGCCCGCTCAAGTTGACGTGACAGTTTCTGGATTTTCCTATCTTGGTCATCCTGCAAAAATGGCATATGTGCTGTTAAGGACCAGTTCTCAGCAAGAGAACAAATAAATCAGTGAACTACCAGTAAGGATTCCATATGAAAGATTTCCGCTTTTTACAGTGTCCGTGAGTTACCCACCCTTACCTCTAATGAGTTTTCTAGCAATGCTTCTGCATAAAAATCACTACAAAATGTTAGCAACTAACAAGCTCACATGCAAAAGCTTAACATCAAATCCAGAACTCATAAGCACAACCACAAGAGAAAATCAAACCATAAAGTAGGTCCATTAATGACTTGATGTCTGTAAGAACAAAACCATGCATATCCTATATATTACATTTTACATCATCTCCAAATCATGTATATGTTTCTTTGTGTATGGTTCTATTTGACCATCTTTGTAACAGAAGAAAGACTCTATCCATATTCTTCAATTCAATATGGAGAGATTTCATTTTCTAAGTTTCATATGGTATCATCACAACATCATTTTTTCTCTCTTTCTCTCTAGTCAGTATCCTTTCTTCGCAGTTATCAGGAAATATCAAATACTATTTTCTTATCCCCCTCCTCTCACCTGAACTGATCACCCATACGTGGGAGTCAAATATCAAAAGCATATTGGTGAAAAATGTACCTTCATTTGTTAGCTAGTGAAGAAATCCCTTCTCTTTCATATTCAGGAATATGGTGTCACAGACGATGTAGAAGGTAGTGGCATTTGTCCTCTACAAACAATAACCAATGAAGATACAACTTTCGTCCTGTACCATAATGCCACCCTCTGGAAGCAAGTTGACTGCAGTACTCTCTTGAATCCAGGCCACAATTTCATCCCTATAGTTTTGCTGCATAACCTTCTCAACTGAACTTTGCACCCTCTGCCCCATCGGCACAGTTGGACACTGAGCAATTGTTGCATGAGATGACTCATTTACGTCTTTTTTAATAGAAATATCTATTTAACGACACTACTAAGAAAGGTACATCTACTGATCTTGATCTTTTATGTAATATCCGGATCCGAAATTTAGGTTCGGAATAATTAAATCATAATAATAAAAAAAAATTACATTTTAAAACTTTCAAAAAAATTGAATCTCTTCATTCTATTGGACATAATCTCTTTCTAAGAAGTTTTAGTTAATTAGTCCTCTACATCTTTAGAAGGTGCGCCAAAAGATTCGGGCAATGGTCTCATCAACTTCGGCTCCCAAAAATCTCTCCCTAGTTTTGTTGAAACCACACTGGCTCCTTTTACACAGCCAAACGAGGACCAACCTTCCTCAGTTTTTGTTGCAAACACCTGTGTGTTATCACCTAATTTTGTTCCACCTCCATCCTCCTATCACAATAACATTATAATAATTCTTTTTATTGAGTGGTTGGGATCTTTGTATGAATCATACCTTCTATATCATCTCATCCACAAAGTTGAGTCTTCTACTATTCAACTCCTTATCCTGCCTCTCAGCCTGGTAATTTAAACCTCAATGAACCTCTAATGTTCAAAACTTTTACCAGTCTGCTCAGTGCCGGATCTGTTTTGAGTTTAATCATTCAGCCTGATAATGTCCATGGCCTGCACAATCATCTTCATCAGTTACTTGAGCAGATTAATTATGCCAAAAAGCTCCTCAAATGCAGCAATATGGAGATATCTGAATCAGTAGAAACACCATACTGGTCCAGGAGGCATATGGGAAAAGATCATAGTGCTTCAGTGGTATAATCTTCTTGTCATTGCCTCATTCAGTAGCATTTAATCAAGCATGCAAACAAAAGCATGATCCGAAGGAAAGACACCTTCAAGTTGTTGAAAATGCATCATAAAGTATATTAGCGACCCAGTTTCTTATGGCTATCGATTATACCACGATTCAAATAGTCCCCTATTGTATATTTGGATGTCAATTGAGGCATTTGTTAGGAGCCTAGATTCTAACATTCATTGACCATAGAAGAAATTGATGAAGAAGAAGACTTGCTGAGAAGAGAGTAGGGGAAGAGGTCCAAAGAACGTAGAGGTTTTGCAAAATTGTCAATTCATATTCAGCTCAAAAACAGCAAATAGACTTGTAAGTAATCCTATTTAGTTTCTAATAATACCCTCCCTTGGAAGAGCATCTTTGTCCTCAAGGATGAAATTGAGGGAATTGACAGGTTGCTCAAGTCTTCATGTTACAGTGGAACACCTTCTACACCTTTTTGCAACCATAACTAATACTGCGGCTTGCATAAATATGATATTAATAGAAAGGGTATTACACCATCAGTTGCACATTCCAATGCCATATAATCAGGCTCCTAAAGAGAATAATTGTTGTATAAGGTCTCATGTAGCCAAGTCTTCAACAAAGTGTAGCAAGACTAGTTCTTGAAGATTCATAGAGTGGAACTTGATATACATCCAAACATCAATTTGGAAATGCAAATCGTCAATATACACATAACCATGTCAGTGTCATAATTCGTTATCTCGAGCAGCATAGATATCTGTCTTTAAATCCCACTGGTTGTCAATCAAAAAATGAATCACTGCCACCCACATCTCTACAAAATAATGATTGATTCCTAACACTACGTTTGAACAAGATTTAGCAAATGAATTGAGAGGAAAAGAAGGAAAAAGAAAATACTGATTTTTGAAGGAAATGGATCAAATAGTGTTGCTTCCGAGCTAAAAGTTAAAAATAAATTAAATTAAATTAAATTATTGTCGTAATATTTTGTTTAGTTTAGCTTTATGAAGGAAAGAAAAAGATTAGATATAAAAAAATATAGTCAATAATACCTTTTATAAACAGAATGACAAGTTAGGCCGTAAGGATAAATTTAAAATTTCCTCTTCAAATCTTTAAGCCACTTTCTTCCTTCTCATTTTCTCCTAGTTCAGAAGAATGGAAAACTGGAGTTTTAAGGAAAAGAGAGAAATGCTCTCCATCTCCCCCTTTCATTTCCTAATTATCATTTTTTATCCAAACAAGTGGAAGGAGACTGTGCATCCCCTTCTTTCCTTTTCCTTCCCTTCACTTTCCGCAATCCAAACATAGTGTAACAGAATCTCCTTCAATTTTTTTTTTTTTTTGAAATAAAAAGAGATATTATACTAATGGTACCAAGGGAGCACCACCCATTTGACATCAACGAATCTTCTTCAATATTAGCTATTTCTCCAAGGAGATACTCAATCCAATCATTTAAGAGAGAACTTTCCATAAATGTCCTGTGTTCTGGTAAGGCATGGTCCTCCAAATGGTTTTAAAACTAGGGTTTCCTTTAACTTAGTTGGTCTACTTTCTACCTGTGACACAATAAGCTTCTCTCCCCCATTGTATTGCACTCCATGAGCATCTCATATATCTCTTTGAAATTTTAACGTCTCCCTTGAAACATTCCTCATTGAAATCTTCACTAAAAATTTTAGGAGAAAGCAACAGCATTCAGTAGGAAGAAGAATTGTTATCAGAGGTGACATCCTAGAACAAACTACCACTAAAGCCGCTCCATACAACAAGGAATCAGAACTCACCACATGTTAAGCACTTCCAAGCAAAGCTAAAGATAAACTTGTGATGGGGACAAGAGCAACAAAAGAACCCACACTTGGTGAAGTTGATATTATTGGAGAGGGAACACTGCCCCACGAAGATGGCAGCGCCGCCATACTTCCTCGAACTTCCACTCTATCTGTTTTCGGCTTTTGTTTTGCAGCAGATATGTTCCTATCTATTGATTCTCCAATGCAATGATTCAGGGAAAAAATAAGAAACTTTGATCGTCTAGTATCTTGATCACACACCTTTATATTGGTTCCTTAAAATGGAAGAACACCGAAATAGAGCCTATAGAACAAAGTCTGTTCAGGTAAGGTTGTTGTCCATATTTGCGTTGTGCAGAGTTCTATTTTGTTATGTGTTTGTAATACCAAGTGTGTTCATATTACCATATTATTCAGTTTAGTACCAAGAGCATTCAACTCATAACTAGCATAACCATAATATCATAAATTTCAAAGAAAACAATTCAAAAAATGGGAATGAACGTGGTAATCAGATAGATGGATTAAATCAGTTCAGCAACCACTAAGGAAGCCTTTATTGCAAATTCACCACAGGGATTGCAAATGACATATTCAAAGCATATATGGCATTTAATTTAGTAGAGTCCATTCAATTCATACTTTCTTACCGTTTAACAGCCCCCTTAAAGAGGGAGGGAAAAGGTTCTATAAAAGTGCCAATATTAAGTCCTTCCATCAGATTATATATCTTGAACTATGGTTCATACTATTTTAGTTCCTGTTCTTCCTGCATAACTAGCATTATCTTGCAGTCCATAAGAACCTGCTTTCCTTAAAGACTGCACTACGATTCGAACAGCTAGAATTGCCGAGAAACATTAAGAAATTAACACTATGTTAAATGGAAAATTATTTAACCCCGTTAGGAGAACCTGGAATCAAGTTATTTATCTCCATGGAAGTTTTGCCTTTTTCTTTTAAGAAAAAAATATATATTTCTCTGTAGCCTACAGGTACTAAATAATAAAGAAAAACATGAGAAAAAAATAAGAAATACGTTAAGCTCCTAATTTCAAGCTATTATATTAACTTTGAAGTTATTTAAGTTAGGAAAACCTCCTTATATTAAATTCTTTATCTGATCTTCCTTTCGAAAACAACAAAAAAGAAAATTCTGTATCTGTACCCAAAAAGTATCAAATAATAACAAAAACAAGGAGAATATAAGAAACGGATAACAAAACAACTAACCATAGAGATAGGTTGATCTAAGCCCCATTGATCCCCAAATGAAATACTAGTTTGATGTCCTTGAAGCAGATGAAGTTCTTTTTCACATTTGTTTTCAGAAGAAGCTTTCAAACAATTCTTTTTCACAAAAGCAACTTTATTGCCAGCCTCCTCCAAAGCACTCATTGCCACATTGTAAATCTCTGGAGATTTAACCCCTTCATCAACATACTTAAGGGCTTCATGTCTGAGATTATTATATCGAACGGCAGGAGATTCTCGTGTACTATTGAACAAACCATTGCCACAATCTTCCAAAATGACCCCACTCCTGGCATTTCTTGTCCATCGTTTCAAAACATACCGAGATGGTAGAGTAAGAACATTGGTTACCCTAAAAACTGTCAATATATGTCGACAAAGAAGGCCAGAGAACTCAAACATCTGGCAGCTACAATACACTTTCATCTCATGAACATTAAAATTAACAAGGTAAGCTTTATGATTTTCTCCAAACTTAGCAACATGATACGTGGGGGTTGCCTCCTTGTCTTCAATTTTTGTTGCTAAATAAGTTAATGTCTCCACCAACTCCTCTTGAAATTTCATAAATAGTTTTCTCGTATAAAGCTCAGCTGACTGTTTTTCCATTGGTGATGGAGTCTTTAGAGCTGGGGCAGTGTTTATTGTGTCATAATCTGCCTTGACTTCTTTTTCATGACGGCTTTCCAGGGCCTTCTCATACTGCTTAACAAACAGCTGAAGAGTTGTGGATGCATTTACATACCCATCAAAATAGGAATTCATGCTGTCACTCCTTTGTGTTATAGACATTTCTGCAAAGAACGTGTCCCTCAAAAAAACTGGGACCCATTGTCGCCGATCGGCATAAATGGCTTGCAGCCATTCATGTTGTCCAAGATTGTATCTATCAGTCATAGCTAACCAACAAGACTCAAACTCCTCAATGGATTCTGTCAGGTTGATGCACTTGTGGAACTCTGCTTCAAAAGCAGGATGTTCAGAAAGACTATGGGACAGCTTCTCTTGGCATTCTTTAAATATATGCCACTTGCAAAAGCGGTGACGCGTCTTAGGAAAAACCTGAGTAACAGCCAAACGAATTAAACGATCATGATCAGTAGTGATAGAGACAGGCAACCGCCCAGCCATTGCTTCAAGCCATGTTTGAAACAGCCAAATAAATGATGCCTCAGATTCATTGATTAAGAGGGCACAGCCAAACAAAACAGGCTGTCCATGATTGTTAACTCCAGTAAAAGGTGCAAAGGGCAACCGATATCTGTTTGACCTATAAGTAGTGTCAAATGTAACAGTGTCACCAAAGTAGGTATAGTTAGTTCTTGCCTTGGGGTCGGCCCAGAATATATTGCTCATGCACTGATCTTCATCGCCTTGCACAGCGTAGAAGAAGGAAGGATTTTCTGCTTGCTTGCTTCTCAAGTAGTCTAAAAGGATTTGGGGGTCACCACCAAGGGTCCTTTGGCGACTGCTCCTCATGTAGTTCCTGCAGTCACGCTCAGTGAAACCAACATTTTTAATCCCTCCATACTCCTTGATGAGAGCAGACATGATACCACTAGGCCCAATGCCAGCACCTTGCAATGTATCTATCAAAGACTTGGCAGCCCCAGAGACATGGCGGTGGGAACGAAGGCAATGCACCTTATCTGGAGGGACGAGTTCATGATTATGTTCCTTGACAAAGGCGGATACAACCCACCTTCCAGAATCTTGAATTTTAACAACGACCATCGCTTTGCAACCAACACGGGTCTCAGCTCTAGGACGCTTGACCCTGCCATGAGGACGCGGTTTGTCCTTGTCAACCCGAAAACCCTCCTTGGCACAGACAAAGGATCTCTGAATGATGGCACCGTCGCGCCTGGAACGGCGGGACATGCTGACCCGGGTGCTGAAACCGACCCGGCGAGCATAGGAGTTATAGAAGGCCTTAGCGGCCTCTTCGGATTCAAATTCCATACCCTCGCAGGGTTCAAGATTGGTATCGCCTACAGGACTGTAAATTTGGGAGCCACTACTGACAATTAATTGGGAATCGCAACTATTAGCAGCATTAGCAACAATAGCAGCACTGGAATCATCAAGCAGGTTGTCATCCTCGACGGCATGCTCAATGTCTCCCAGACCCATCATATCGAATTCAATCACTTCACTTCCCATGCCCAGAGGCTCCATCTCCATAATTAAATCATATATTTTGGATTACTGTATCTTCCCATTCTTATCTTTTCGTTGTTCGCATAGAATAAAACCTAAGGGGAACAAAGATGACGCGCAATTTCCCCAAAAGAAAACAAAAATGCACTGACTTAAGAAGATAAAAGCAGAGATCGAACAGAGTAATAAGGCTATGAGAATGAGAAAGAGAGGGAAGATGAACCTGAGCTGCGCATATTGAGCAGCACATGGAGTTGGAGCTTGAGAACCACAGCGCAGGAAGACAGTGATGAAATTTCAGGAAAGAGAACAGCGGGATTTGGAATTTGTTAGGTGTCAGAGATCAATCTCTGGTTTCCTCAATTTTGGTAGAAGTAAAAAATTGGACTTAAATTTATTGAGTCTGAACGGACCAAATTGTATCAATTTGCAATTAAAAAATAATTAATAAAAATTAAAATAAATAATAAATCTATAAATCATAAATATTTGTTTAATATATAACTAATAAAATTAATAAGAAAATAACAATTTAACTTTTTTTTTATAATTTTCTTAGTCCTAATTCTTTCAGTCTATTTTCGAATTGGACACTGTTAGTGAACCAGATGTAATCAAAAAAATTTAATTTTCTAATTTCGATTAAAAATGGAATTAAACTGTGCTTACTCCGGTTTAAAATATTAAAATAATTTATGAATTTATTAAAATATTTAATTAAAAATATAATATTCGAACATGAAATTTAATTCGAGTTAAATATATAAAAAAATTTATTTTTAAATTAATTTATTTTAAATTTTTGTTGACTAATCGAAAAAAAATATGTTATAAATAAAATTAAAAATAATTTTAAAAAAAATGAATAAAATTTTGAGTACAGAAAATATTTTTGAAAGAAAATTCAAAAACTGTAGATCATAATGCAAATAAAAAGAATTGTCACGTAAGACCGTACAGTCAGCAACTCCGACAAATCTGAGAATGCCGCGTGGCAAGAAACGCTGATGTCAATGCCACGCAGGCGATCTGCGTGCCCCGTAATCGAACAGCCTAGGATCAATCTCACGCTCGTGGACGATCCAGATTTGTTTCTCCTTTAAACGCGATCGGACGGTCAAGATAAAATCACAATGAATGGTTCAGATTTATTTTTCCTTTAAATGTGATCGGATGGTCGAGATCAAATGCGATGAATGGTTCCAGATTAACACGAAATTTGTATAAATATTTCGTATCACACTAAACTCAAACCCTAGTCATCAGCCTCCCGCCGAATAAGAAGAACCAGTCGTCGGAAAAGGGAGCCGACTACCGATCACCGCCGCACCGGAGTCACCTCCGACCGCCAAAAAAGGTAAAAATTCTCTTATCCATTCAGAATTTGATTCCGAGCACCTCATGACCAAATCAGAGCAAATAGAACGGCGGGTGAACCGAAAACTGCAGGCAAAGCCCGGCGGCGCCATCGCGGACAAAACCTACAACCTCCTCCGGTGAGCCTCTTCCCGTTTCCTGTTTTGTACGATTTTTTCACCGTTATATTCACCATTTTGTTTTCAACAAGTTGACCGAAGAAAAACTTTAAGCCTTGAAAGTGAGCCGGCGAAGCCGCTGTAATTGGAAAACCCCACCACTAGTAGGTTTCTGTTTTCTGATTTTTTTTTTCAACCAACTGAGACCCCTTAACGTATTTTGCAGCACGGATACGTATAAATCCAGTCAAAATTGACCAAAATCGGTAGAAAACGGTCAGGCATATCTAAAATGCCGCCGCAAACAGTGAGACCGTCGTCGAAACACAACGGTACTATCGTGTCGGCACCCGAAAAATGACCGAAAATGATTTTTTATACCAATTTTGGATTCTTAGAATATTTTTAGATACATGACAAGTGTTTTGAATTCCGCATAGATAATTCAGGAAACCCGAGAACCGCCAGTAGGTGCATTAGAAAGATCAGTATTTTGGACACTTATTCGAGTAAGAATCTCTCACTTTCTTCTCCGTTACGCCAAATTAAAACTTAATAATTAATAATTGTGTGTTTTTATGAAAAATTAGATAATCCTAAAAACAATTATAGATCACTAGTAGAGACAGAACTGGTTAGTTCAAGTCATTTTGATTTCCTGTTTATTTTTCTATATTGTGTATATTTGTTTACTATATTATGTTGTGTGTAACTCAATTGATGGTTTTTAAAGTCTTTTTGGTTATTTCATTATTTGTTTCCCCTGCATTACATGCCGGTATCCCAGTCATTGGTTGTTTAGCGGTGTGAAACTATATTATTGTTTAAGTGAACGATGAGTATAAAATAAGATATGGTTATTACATAGTTGATTTTTATGCTGATAGAAATTTGTACATGAAAGACTTACTAAGTATCCAGGAAATGGCGGATGGTCCGGTACATAGGAAAATCTACCATGAACGTTACCTCAGTCAGACAATGCTGGAAAGTCTTTTATCAGGAAGGTTTGAGAGATATGATTCACTTTCATAACGGATGGAGTATCGAGCTGGTGGAATGTTTGGCGCCCATTACCGGATGGGGTATGGGGACGGCCAGTTAATTATTTAATTGAATATTGGGTTCACGAGTAGGAGGACATCCCTATGGAACCCTACGGGTACTGGTAAGAAGGTAAAAATGTAAAATGATCGTTTCTTGTTATTTTCTATGTGATAAATAATTGTGCATGAATATAAGTTTTCATAAGTTATCGTTTGAAGAGACTTGTTACACAAATGGTTTTCTTTATAATAAATAAATTTACAATAAATTAAGAGATTCATTGGTTATTTTTCTTATTTTTACCAATTTTTAATTTTTTGTATCTGTGATTAGTATGATATTTTTACTGAATTAGTATAACTCACCTCTCCATTAATTATTTCAGATCAAAAGGATCAAAATCCAAATCTCGATCAACAAGAGGGTTGCGAATAGTTCACCATCCGAACTTCCTGCAAAAGTTAATGAAGGTCGTCCTAAAATGCTTAGTGATTTGTTTTTCGTTTATTTTTTTGATTTCTGTTTGCTCTTTTATAATAAATATTCTCGTGACTCTATTGAGCATTCTAAATTATTGTGTAAAAAATATAAACATTAACTTTATTATTTTATTTCCATATTTAATTTATAACTTTATTTTATCCAAAATTCTGAGACTTTATAAAAAAAATATTTAAAATATCATAAAAGTTGTTCTCAAATTCTATCTCATGAATTTTTTTTTTAATTTTCCACCAAATTTATTGTCTTTAATCAAAATAATTTATTGAAAATTTTTGCGTGAATCCTTAAAATTTCGTTTCTGAATAAACATCTAAAAGGAATGATTGCTAGAACAATTTCATACATAAAAATATGAAATTTGTACATGATTTTAGTAATTGATACTGAAAACTAATGACCAGCGCCACAAGAATTTGTACAGAAAATCAAGAAATCAGCGGAAAGAAACTATTTCTTTTGTAATTGATACTGATAGATTACAGAGAAAACATCCATGCATGCATACTGCAAGTTAACACCATATAGGCCATAACAGAGCTGATTCTTTGATTACTCGTTTATTAATCTCCCGTCGCCGGCGATTCTCCCTCATCTCCTCCGCCTTCATATCCACGAGTTTCTCCGGACTTATCTCCCCGACAAGCACTTTTCTTCTCAAATATCGGTTCTCGGGATCATTCATGGCGAACATTATCAACTTGTACTTTATCTTTTTCGGAAGCTGATCTATCGGTGACGCTCCATCGCCATTGAAAGTACCCAGCTTCTCAAACAGAACCCTCTCTACAGAATCAGCAACTTTGATTGGGTCAGAATATCTCAGCTTACGTTTCATCATCTCCTCATCACCATCGTCAACCTCGTCGGTGACTTTACGCAGAGCCTCGACGAGAAGTCCGCGCACCTGGTCGCGCGAGGCAGTACCGTCGCAGTACGCAGTAGTTGAATATCTGATCATCTCCTTCTTGGAAGCTAACAGTAGCGGTGCTTCTTTCTTGATCATTGAATTCTTTGGTTTGAGATTCTCAGTATCGGCGTTGTTTCTTGTTCTTGTAATGAAGGGTGTCCAGGTTTCGAGCAAAGAAGAAGCCGCGGAGCGTATTTTCTTGCTGCGATGCTGGGTGAGATTTTGCAGGGGTTTGACGACATTGGCGGAGGCGAGAAGACGAGAGGTAACACGAAGAGTCTTGAGTTGATTCAGTGTGTCAACACATTGCGATTCGTCATGTCGACTCGCCAAGACTCCCTTGAGACTAACAGTTTTGGCCGCCTTCTTTGCGATCTGAAATTGGTCCGCCAACTTTCTCTCCATTATTCTTCCTCTGAAACTGATGACAGAATTTTTTTTTTTGCTAGCGATGGAGGGATCTAGCTTCTTATAGAGGTGAAGATTTTCCGTTTTCCTAATCAAGATTGGCTAATCTTGATCCAAAAAGGAAAACAGGCTTCCGGGGAATTACTTCCTTAATTTGAGATTTGATTATCTAAACTATAAAAATCTTGATGGATGAGTTACAATTCTTGCGGTGTTTACTTTGAAAAATAAAGAAACGAAACTTAATTAAAAACAGCCATTGAGTTTTAATTGCCTAGTGGGCTTCAGCTTCTGTTTGGATTTGAGCACGACCCATTTGTTCTAACGGACCAAGTCTGAGACAGTCCATACGGCCATAAAACGGGCCCGTTTAATACATTCATTGGAAACGAGTATAAAATAAACTCATGCTTCTCATTTTAAAAAAATAAAATAAAAAAGATAACGAAGCTTGATAAAATAATTACTTTAAAAAATAAATATATTTATAATAATAAGCAAAATGGTACTGAAAGCTAAAACAATTTGGACCAAAAATAATGGTAGTGACAATTCCTAGAATTTATAAGAGATGTTGAAGGTTTAACCGATTGATAAGACTTCTTTTCGTGTCAAGGGCGGCTGTCTTCACTCCATGTGGTCCGATCACCTCACATGCTTAGCAGACAAATTGAAATTAATTCATACAAATATTAATTTTGTACTTTTACATTTATTTATTTAAATTTAATTTATAAAATATTGTTTTTATTTGATAAATTAAGCAAAATTATGCTCGCCCAAAGAAAGAAAAAGGGCGAGGGACTCGGTTTGGGCATGGATGGCATAACTGTAAATATCGTTTGAATGGAGGGGGATTTTATTGTGCAGGACGCTTTTTGTAGGAGTCCAAAATGGGGCACGTGATGTAATTAGTAGCGAAGCCTACGTACGGCTAGCCGATTTTGCCTTTAGGCATTGGGCCCGGGAACTAACATCAAGGCTATAATTGGAGTCACGCACACACACACACACACACACACACACACACACACACGCACGCACACGTGTCTGTGTTTGTGTGTGTGTGTGTGTGTGTGTTTATATATGTGTGTGTGTGTGTATGTATATATTCCATCTCATCTTATTTTGTGTATTATGAAACAAAATAGAGGAGGGTCTGCAAGCACATGACGACCGCTCTAACCATCATTGCATAGGGAGTTGCTTTACAGCCAAATGCCCCCACAAACCTGCATACATGTTATATCTCCATGAGTTGTAATGTCTGAAAACCCATTACCATATATTTCCTTATTGTATTTTTTTAGACCTTTTATTTTCTACTGTATTATATTAATTTTTATGTATCACTTAATCAAAATATTTTCAGCTTGAATTTTTTAGTAATATTATCAGATTTTGAACATGGTAAACTAATGTAGACAGAGTAAAAATTATCTACTTAATTATTTGAAAAATGATGGTGTTTAATATCAAATTTTTTTAGGTGGGTCAGTGATTTGATGTTGTCAAAACACAATAAACCTGGAGTTATGCTAATAATGAACCAATTAAAAGCATTTTAAACTTTAATTAGTATGGTCTTAGAATTAGAGATAATTGGTAGCTAGTAGATTCCCCACTTTGCAGTAGGACAATCAATAAGCCATGCAGTGTTAGGTGTGCCAATTGATTATCTTTCTCGTTCATAGAATCTAAGTATCAACTCAGTCAAAATTTCTCAACATTTTATAGTAACTTTTTTTCAAAAAAAATATTTTTATTTATTTATTTATTAATTTCACTTACATTTTTGGGTAATTTATATTTTTATTTATCAATAAAAAATTATTATTAAAACTATAGTATTGGCTGCCGTATAATATAAACTCAAAATATTAATTGAACCAAAAGTGTAATTGATTGCGTCGTTTAGTTGGCGGAAAGGCATAAAAATTTTTTAGATTTGAATTTATTATTTACTATTTCATTTTTTTTTTTTCCCCTTCCCGCATGAAGAATATTTAAAATTTTCTCTCCATCCTCCGCCTCAGTTGGTCAAATTCTCTGACTTTTGCAGCCATACCCATTACGTAATTATCTACAAAATCCCCTCCTTAATCCATGCCATATACACACACACACTAAAAAACTATTATTAAAATATTAAAAAGTACTTAAATTTTTTTAATTAAAATAATTATGAAGAATTAATAATTAAGTCATAACATTTTATAATTATTTAAAAATAATTAGGGGCGTAACAAGCAGAGAGGAGAATAAAATATGTATTAATTAATTTGATTAGAGTTTGCTTGCGGTTATAAGGTGTCGCCAAGTGGAGGGGTCGTGCGCATAACTGCATCTGCAACTGTCCCTGAGCTGTTCTTTACGTGCTGCTCCTCCTTTTCTTTTCTTTTTAATTAATTTGTTAATTTGATTGAATTTTGAAATTTTTGTAAATTTTCTAGCTATTTAATAAATATTTTTAATGTTTTATAAATTTTAAACATTTTCAATTATTTTTCACACAATAAAATTAAATTTCTTTACCTCCAAAAATTTAACTCTTATCATGGGTTGGTCAATTTAAAAGTCAAGACCCAAATCATTCCAATTCCTATAGATTAACCCCCGAGTAATAAATGTTCTCCCTCATATTTTCACTTTGTTTATTAAAAAAAAAAAAAAACTTTTTAATTAGGAGTGCAACGGAATTTAATACCAAAATATTTTGCAACAAGATTTCTAAACTTACCACTTAAACTATCACTTTTATCTAATAGGATTAAGGTTAAATTAATGATTTTCAAAACAATAATTAGTTGATAACGACGCACTAATTATTGTGATAATCCTGTGGTCCATGGCTCCTCGTAGTAAAAACGAGAAAAACAACATAACTCTGAATTAATATCCTTTTTAATTTTTTTTCCTACAAAAAAATAAAAAATCTTCATATTTATTATTTAATAATATATTTAAAATTAAAAAAAATAATAAAATAAAAAGAGGAGATGGAACCTTCGCTTTCTAGTGGGTTATTCCAGCAATGGACTCCCCCTGCTAAAAAGCAGAACCTTTTTTTTTTTTTTTTTTTTTTATTTTCCTCTACCATTATCATTATTCCTATTATTATTAAAATTACTCTCTACTTTCATGGCTCCTTCATCATACAAATCTTACCTTTGAATTTCCACTTTTTTCTCTCTTCTCTCTCATCTCCTCATCTTCCTTTTCACTTCAACTTCTTCTTCAGTTTCAGTTTTCCGTGCCGTACTGGTTATGATGACCCCCCTGTCGGTTTCCTCTCTTCTATTTCTGCTGCTCTCTTCATAACAATGCGTTCGCAGGATTCTGTTTCTCGCAAGTACGCTTCGATTTCTGGCAAATTTTCTTTTACTTGCTTGGCGTCTTTTTTTTTTTTTTTTTTGTTTTTGTTTTTCAGAGTGAAGGTCTTCGCCCGTTAAATTCTCCACTACCAAACAGAGTATTTTCTTTTAACGAAAACTGCATTTTGAAGCTTGTTGTAACTTGTTATGTCTGGTTGATTAATTTGGTTTGAGATCAATGGAATTGTTTCCGTTTGTAATTCTGAAACTGGCGTAGACTCAACATAATTTTCGGTATCGCCATCTGTATCCGATATTTTAATTACTACTCATGAATCTAGATAATTCTTTTAGCGTCATATAGATTTACTGGTTTTAAATCGATCACCTTCTTCATTTCTCCAGCTGACATTAGATGGCAGACATTTAAGCAGGCGTGTCGTCTTGGATATAACCTTATATATGCTTCAATTTCCTCATATATGTCTGTTCAGAGTAGTTCGTGAGGTGTTTATCAGCTTTTCTACTGGTTCTCTGGAACTAATTAATTATTCTTACAGGTTTCCAGCCGTATGTGTGATTATATTTGATAGTACATGGAGTCCTGAAGCCGTAGTTATAAGGAAATGAGAGCTTTTTGATACCGCAGTTGCTGTATGGGAGGCTTTTTGCGCCTTTTTGACTTTAATCATAGCAGTATGGCCAGGAAAATTCTTGCACATAAGAAGCACGTTGGGGGTGAGTATTATTTTCTTCTACGCATTCGAGGCAGTTGAATATGATAGGCTGGCAGAAAGTCAATAAGGTTCCTTAAAAATCCTGGTCCTGGAGCCTATCCATACCACTTCTGTATTTGCAGAGTTCAAAATTTTATTGATCCCTCGTAACACTGACAATAATTTAAGGACTGTGTATGCAATGTGAAATAATGTTCGTTCTCTACGCATTGAAGTAGAGATTTCCAGAAGATGATGAGAGATGTGAATCAAATAAATTTATTTGGCCTCTTTGCTCAATAATGTAGTTTACTGTGATGACATGAAAACTTCAAACTAGCTTTATCTGTTTTGTGTTTCTTTACTTATTCTTACAAACATGATGTTGCCAATTCCATCCTCTGCAGGTCTGGAAGCACCCCGAAATAGCTTGGAGTTACAAGTTGAAATGCCTCACAGCTACTGTTCTGTGACTGATGAGCCGGTAAATTTTTTGTTTTCGTACCTTGTAGCAATAAATGGCATTTTAAGGTGATCTTGTTTTATTGATCTGTGAGCATGAGAATTTGTTTTACTGATTGTCTCCAACTCTTATGAGTTGTAATTGGACTTTTGGAATTAGATCCTGAGCAAATACCAAAACTTAACGAGCTTTACGCTATATGTTGATCTACTTCTTTAGGAAGGGATATTCTCCTGCTTTCTCTTTTCAATCTGCAGGATGGTTCTCTCTTTCTTTCTTTCTTTCTTTTCTCCTGCCATTTTCTCTTTTTGATTTTGCAGTTCCACAACCGAAGTTCATGTAGAGAAGAGCTGTCTTTATTTATCTTTAATCATCTTCTTATATCTCATTACTTTCCTAATTTGGATTGATATAAAGTCTATGAACAACTAACCTGTGTCCAAGCTATGGGGTTCAATGAGTTCTCGCAAAATTCTGCAGTCATATCGTTTATCAATAACGGAAAAAAGTAAATGTTAGCACTCTTTAGTCCTTTTCTTTCTGTCTCTTCGTTTGTTCATTCAGATGCAACTTTCTATGAATTTCCAGTACTCTTATCAAGTGGAAGAAGACTGGTCCGAACAAAACTACTATCCAATTGAGGCGTCGATGGAGAAACTCATCAATGATGAAATATCAAAACAATCTCACACCAGACGCAATGCACCAAGCATTGTGGCCCGCCTAATGGGGGTTGATACTCTGCCATTAGATACAAAATCCGTTGTTGATGCGGTTGAAAAAAAGGATGGCTATCAGGGAGTGAAGTTAATGAAAAACAGAAATAGAAAGGGGTCAGTTGATCATTATTCATCAAATTCAAAAGTTTCCAGACAAACGGAACTTGATTCAACATATTATAAGAAAGATAAAGATGGTGACAGATGGAGCACTGGCCAGAAATTGGGAAAGCCCAGGCCTCGAGAACATCCTCAAGAGGAGGAGCTTCAAAAGTTCAAGAGAGAATTTGAAGCTTGGCGAGCGGCCCGGTTTAAAGAATGCTCAAAGCTTGTCGATGATATTGGAAGCACTCTTACGAACTCATTTGCTGAGGAGAACCTCCAGAAAGAAAAGATAGCGCACTCTGCTAATTCTGAGATTGCAATGAGGGTGAAATCTGTCGAACCCAATCTTACATTCAATGCAAGGTTAAATGAAAAAGGTTGTTCACAACATCATCATGGACATAAAATGGAATACTTTCCAGCTGAGCAGAAAGAGTCATTTCCTTTGAGGAGCAGAACCATCAGCAGAGATTTCTTGCAATCCTCCGTGATTGACTATGATCAGAAACTGGATGCAGCTCCAACGAGAATAATTATTTTGAAGCCTGGTCCTGATAGGATTCGCGAACATGAAGAATCCTGGACCAGTTCCTCAGGAACCTTTGAGGACAGAGCTAGTATAGAGGATTTTCTTGAGGAGGTGAAGGAACGACTTAAGTCTGAGTTGCAAGGTAAAACTCTCAAACGAAGCTCTGGAGTCAGAGGAAGTGGAATCGAGACACCTTACAAGGAAAAGCCATCAGATCCAAAACAAATTGCTCGACATATAGCAAACCATGTCAGAGAAAGTGTTACAAGGGACCTTGGAATGAATTTGCTCCGATCAGAATCAACACGATCATATAGAAGCGAAATTCAGGTTAACAGCCCAGATTCCCCGGAGTTCGTCAACAGAGATACAAGGAAATTCTTGTCAGAGAGACTAAGGAATGTTCTTAAGAGAGAGACACATCTAGATGCTCCAGTTACTGCCAATGGCAGCTTGAGATCATCTGTGTTAGATAGTGAAAGAAGAATAAAACAAACAGGAGCTTACTTGAATGCTGCAAATGAACAGAACTACTGGGAATTTTTGAAAGATGAACAGGATATACAAACCAGATCATTCAGGCGCGGTGACGATGATGGAGTTGTTGACAGAGAATTATCCCCTAGAAATCTCATCAGGTCATTGTCAGCGCCGGTATCTGGAACATCGTTTGGGAAGCTTCTTTTAGAGGACCGCCATGTTTTAACTGGTGCTCAGATCAGAAGGAAGCATGAAGCAACTGAAAATTTGTCAGAAAATCTTAGGAAAAGGAAGAAAGAGAGGTTTAACTTCAGAAAAAGGGTATCAGATATTAGAGACAGTTTCGCTCTTAGAGGGAGGCTGTTCGGCAAGAAGATTCATTCAACAATTGAATCGCATGGCTTTGAGCATAACTGCATAAAAGATATCATGAGCGGACCGACTGTTGTTATGAACTACGGAGAGAGACATGTAAGAGTTGACTTTAACATATTAGTATCACAGTTTCACTTGCCGTTGTTGTTGTTTGTTTCTAATAAAATATGTTCTATCATATTGCATCAGGAGAACTCTACTGAGGTGCCTCCTAGCCCTGCGTCAGTGTGCAGCAGCACTCAAGAAGATTTCTGGAAGGCTGCTGATTATCTCAGTCCAATATCAACACCAGATATTACGATTGGAGATGATAACCCTATGCCTCAGGTTTTCAGAGAGATCAGTTCTAATCTGAATGGTGCGAAAATTTTCGTAAAATCTTGTCCCCTGAATTATGGTTTTATGTATCTTGTTTGCCTAGTAATGCCTTATGATGATGTAGCATGCCTTTGCTATTAGTTTCTTTTATGCGTAGTGATGCGTGATTTTTGGTGTGTGTGTGTGTGTTCGAACTTAATGATAATTTTGTATGCGGAAAATGTTGGGTTGACACTTGTGTTAGACTTAACATATTTCATTTCCACCGTGAAGTGACATGTCAATAGAAACTGATATGTTAGCTTTAGTCCGTATAAAAAAGATATTGACATACGTCTCAATACAAGTTCAAGCTATTTTTGGAAAAATATTTTTGATACCATCTTCTGTTGATGATTATCATACAGAGCTACGGAGACAACTAAATGAGCTTGAATCTGATGGGCTGGAGGACCGGATCATTGAGCAAGACATTGTTGAGTCTGAAAGAACTGATATAGAGGACAAGACAGAAGCTTATGTAAGAGATTTGCTCATTGCTTCTGGTTTGTATGATGAATCGTCTGATAAATGTTTATTAAGACGGGACGCCTTTGGGAAGGTTATCAGCAACTCGGTCTTTGAAGAAGTCGAAGACCAACATAGAAAATTAAACAAGGAGAAGGAAAGTAGTGTCATCAATAATAACAAGGAAAGGATAGATCGTAAACTCTTGTTTGATTTGTTGAACGAAACGCTTAAGACCATACTTGGTCCACCGGCGATGAAGTCTAGAATACAAAGGAAGGTTAGTGGCTATTCCGTTCTGCCTCCTCCACGTGGTAGGAAATTATTGGATACTGTATGGAAGATCATCTGTGAGTATCTATACCCTCCAACAGAGAGATTAAATCAGTCACTGGAGAGGATGGTGACAGAGGATATGGAATCCACCCCATGGGCTGACTTGATGGATGAAGAAATTAGTGCTTTGAGTAGAGAGGTGGAAAGTGTCATGATGGGAGAACTGGTTGATGAAGTTGTGAAGGATATATGCAGTTAAAGTCGGTATATGTATTATTACTGAATCAGTAACGCTGATGTTTTTAACCTTAAGTTTGGCAGTGTCATATTTTTTTGATAACCAAGTTATGCTTCAGCAGAGACTGAAAAGAGTGAAGAAAGGCTGTTAAAGGGTGAGGTATATACGAGGCAATATCTATACATCATGAGTGGTTAAATCCCTAATTTTGGATCGGGATGTTTGATTGATACACGTGAGTCTTTTCCATGTAGATGTATATAACTATTGGTCTTTCCTGTTACGTAGGAGCTGGGTTGAACAGATTCACACACACTGTACATGACTGCTTGTATTGACAGTCTTTTTTTTTTTTTTTTTTGTTTTGGTTTTGGTTTTCC